CTCACTGAGGAGAAAGTGTTGTGTGAGCATTGTTCAATTAAATGCAGATGCCTTGCATTCTGAGTAACTGATCTGAAGATAACAATATGCAATGTATATACCATTGTTATCCCTTATTGTGTTTTGAAATTCTGTTTTTTTCTCTTCAAAAGAAAAAAAAGCATTTGATAAAATATAAAACTCATGATTTAAAAAACTCCCCAAAGAACACAGGAAACTTCCTTAATTTATTAAAAGATATCAGCAAAGACTTACAGTTTAAATTATACTTGATGAAATAATGAGATATCTTTCCTTGAAGTCAGACAAGGATGAGCATTCTCATTGCGTCTATTAATATTGTAGGTTCCAGTCAACCCAGTGCAACTTAGCGAGACAAAGCCCATAAGACTAGATAAAAAGAAGCACAGCTGTCATTTAAAGGATATTATAATTGTCAGTTCTCTAGGGCTATCTACCACAACCAAGAAGTGAATTCAGCAAAATCACTACACATAAGGTAAGTATGAAAATGGTTTTATTTCTTTCTATATACTAGCAGTTAGCATTTGGAAAATGGTACTTTAAATACTAACACAAAACTACTAAATATCTATTTTTTAAATTTTATTGAGAAAATCTAAAACAGAATTTCGTAAACGTAATAGGAGACTAACAACAGTTAATACATTGCACATTGTCATCTTCAAAGTAGTTATTTGGAGCACAAGATATGGGTATAAAAAATTCCCTAACTGATATTAGCAGAAGTCTTCCTTTTCTTTTTTTTTTTTTGGTATGGGGATCAAACTCAGGACCTCACATTTGCTAAGCAAGCACTTAGGCCACTGAGCTAAACCCCCAGCAAGACTTCCTTTTCAATAAACTAAGAGACAGTTATAGTATAGCTACCTTGCATTTCTCTTATACTTTTCTCCCTTTTCCCTTTCTTCCTTTGTCCTTTCCCCCCTCCTCGTTCCCTTTTCCTTTTAAACACTTCTCATTTGACTATTGTACATTTTAGACTTTTACTTTCAATTTCTTACATCAGTGAGACAATTTGATGTTTACACATGTGAGTCTGATTTATTTCACTTATGAGTATGATCTCAAATTGCATCCATTTACCTATAAAAGTCTCAAATTTATCCTCTTTATGGCTGAGTAGGAGTCCATTGTATAAAAATAAAAATATCACATCTTTTTTTATCTGTTCCTTGGTTGATGGGTATTTGGGTTTTTTAAAATATCTATTCTAAAAAACAAATGAAAAGCCAAGGTGTGGTGGTGCACACCTGTAATCCCAACACTTGGAAGGCTGAAGCAGGAGTTTGAGGTGAAGCTGTTAGTTCAAAGCCAGTCTGGGCTACACAAATGAGTTTAAGGCCAGCCTAAATTACACAGTAAGACCCTGTCCCCAAACCAAATGAAAAAATGTACCATCACCACTAATGTGCCCCTAGTGTCAAAAAACAGTTATTACAAAAAGAAATTTAATCATGATATATGTTCTGGGATTAGAAGTCTCCACCTCTATTAAGATATCAATTCTCCTCATATTTGTCTTAAAGATTAAATTCCAATAAAAATTCTTGCAAGAGTCTTTGGAAATAGATAAGCTGATTCCAAAGGTCATCTTAGACAACATGGTGTACCAGATACATTAGTTTATGCAGCAGCCAAAACCCCAGTTTAGAATAATCTCAATCAAGGATTAGATGATCTATGACTACTAGTGTTTCTACCTAAAGATAATATCATCAGAAGTGTTAAATTATCTCTAAAATTTCATACGCAATATCTAACAAATAAAAAATAGCTCTAGGGAGTACTCAACACAATCTGATCAAAACCAAACAGAAATTGGATTTGGTGGTATGTGCATGTAACCCCAGCTACTCAAAAGACAGTGGTAGTAGGACTACTTGAATCTATCAACCATCAGGACAACACAGTGAGACCTCATTTCCAAAAGAAAAAATAAAAAAATGAATAAGTAAAACCAAATAGATACTTTTTAAAAAAAAAAAAGCTAGGAATAGGAAAACTCATTCCAAAATTCATATGGAATTTCAAAGAATGTCAAATAACTAAAACATTCTTGAAGGAAAAATCCGAGAACTTGTGTTTCATGAGTTCAAAACTTAATATACAGCTATGGTTCCAAGCAGTGTAATCATGACATAAAGGTGACATATAGACCAGGGGAATAGAATACAGAGCTCAGAAATAAATCCTCCCACAGATGGTCAGCTTACCAAGACCATTCAAAGAAGAAAGGACAGTTTTTCAACAAATAGTACTGGGAAAACTGGACACATTAAAAAGATCTTATTTTATACCATATATAACTCAAACTAGACCAGAGACCTAAATATAAGAGGAAAAATTCTTAGCTGAAAACATTAGGTAAAAATTTCATGGTATAGGATTTGGCAATTATTTCTTAGCTATAACAACAAAATAAAACAGAGTGGACTTTATCAAAATTTAAGACTTTTTATAAATTACTGGTTTACAGGTTGCCCCATGCCAGTATCACACCGGTCAGACAGGAACTCAAAGGACAAGGCTCTTGCATCTGCCTGGTTAAGGCTTCCCAACAGTGTAAGTTAGATTAGTTCATGGACAAAGAAGGACGGCCATTTCAGAAAGGAGGACTAACATCTGCCAAAGCAAGTTATGTTCAGTCTGTTTGAGAAAAGCACACAGTTCAGGATGTTAGAACTCAAGATACGTGGAAGGAAGCTACTGGAAAGTATGCCAAATAGAGCAGACTAATATAAAGAATCTTGAATGTCAGGCAAAGAAATTCAGTTATACCCAGGGGCACAAAAATCCTTTGGAAGACTTTGTGAATAGAAAACAAATCAATTCTGCTTTTTAGAAAAATCACTATACCAGTATTATAAATAGCATTGGGACAGAAGAAAGAGGGACACTTAGAATACTACTTTAGCACAGAAATGTTACTAAGAAAGGAATGAAGAGGATAGGGGAAATAAGGATAAGTCCCAGAGATCTAGTCACCAAATCCTGGTCCTGTTTAACTCTTTCTTTTAACTTATTTGGGTATAAAGTTTTTTGTGGACTAAATTCAAAGACTATTGTGTATTTAGACATAAAAATGTAACAACAACCCACAGGTTAAAGAAAAAAGTATAATGGAAAAAATTTAAACTTAGAATTGAATAAAAAAGTATAGAATTTGTAGGATCAAGGATTAAGTTAGAATATGTCTGAAATCTTTTAAGCAATAAATATTATTTATTAGAAAAGAAAAGTAAAGGCGGTAAGAGGAAGAATAAAGTTAAGGACTCACACCACCCAGTTTCACTCATTGTAAACTCACAGTCATCAACACCATTTGGAATTTGTAAAAAGCCAGAAACATAGGTCAACAGATAGACTGGTATAGAAAGAGGCTCACACATAGCTAATTGATTTTTGACAAAGGTGCAAAATCGACTCAATGACAAAGGACAGTATTTACTTTGCTAGTCACCAGCAAGGTAAGACAGGAAACATTAGAATCTTTTGTTAAATGTATATCTAATATATATTTAAATTTCATCTTATAAATGCTATGTATCTTATACACTTAGAATTCAGAATAAATATAAGGTTAAGCAAATGGGAATTGTATCTAAGGCCATCTCTTTCTGTGTGACCTTTGTCACATCATTTAATTTCTCATTTTTTGAGTTATTTTGCCATTTCTTTAGGTCCCCCTGCCTCCTTTCTCTAACATTTTTGTGAGAATAAACATAGATGCATACATGAGAAACAGTGCAGTAGAGAAATCTAGGGTGGGGGTGCAGGAAGGGAATGCAAATGTTTTCATATGGTGGTGGTCTCACAGATATAGTATAAACATTTTCCAAACTTCATCAATTGTGTACTTTAAGTGAATATAGTTTATCATACATAATTTACATCTCAGCAAGTAGATATCCACACTATTGAGTATAGTGGATATTGGTGTTGTTGAGTAATTGTTAGTTTGTTACTCTATTTACTTCCCTTTATATATTCACTAGGCACTATTCCCCACATCAAAATCCCTAAAAACTTCTGGCATGTGAAATTACTTATCAGTCTTCTCTGCTGCAAACTGAATCCCAACATCTTTAACTTTTCCCACAGATTGTACTATTCTATCTTTTCATTTAACAAGATGTTAAGTTTTAAATGTGGAATCTACATTTCTCACTACAGTCACACAACAAACAAGTACTGTAACTCATGATAAGTGGTAAAGTATCTTGACTAGGCAGCTGCCACACAAAGCCGACCTCTCTGCTTGTATGTTGCTCTTTCACATTAAAAGAGTTTATTATATGCTCTTACATTTTAACTAAACTATAAGTACTATTTTAAAAGCTTTCATGGATTTCTTGCTCTCTATATATTCCCAAAATGAATCATATAATTTGGAAACAATAAATGCTGAGGAACATTTTTTATTTGTACTAATGACAGGAAAACTGCCGGGGACTTAGCTAAGTGGCGTAAGTACCTGCCTGGTAAGTACGAGGTCGCGAGTTCAATACCAGGTACCAAAAAAAAAAAAAAAAAAATTTAATCTTAAAAATCTAACTCTACTTTCTTTGGTACCAACTCAGTTATCGTGTATTTATATATTTTAAATTCAAACTGTCTCACATTGAGTTTCTTACATTATTGAATTCTCCAGCTGTTCTGTCAGCAATATTAAACAGATCCACCTCCTCTAAATTGCTAAAATTCAAGTTCACTGAAATGGGATATGCTAAAATCTGTCTAAGGCTAGAAACTATCAATACCAATTTTAAAAATAAACATCTTGAATGACATTTTTATTTACTACTTTGTTTTGTTGTTTTAAAAAACATAATTTTGCCCTACCTAAAGAGGGCATAAGAAATATTCCCTAATTTTTCTTTCATTTTATATTTTTTACTTTTTAATCACTTCTGAAAGAATTTATAGATGATTTTAAAAAATAAAAATACCCTCTCCCCCCAGTCCACTTCACTCACCTACAAAATGGGCTGGGAATAGTAGGTATCACATAACAAATCCCCCCATTCAGGCAAAATGACCTGTGACTGGGACCACAGGGCTCCTCGTGATCTAAAACACATATGCATATGGGACAGAGAAAGGCACATTAAAGGTTTTCTAGTGCAACCAGGAATAGGAACAAGTAATCTTAGAATGAAATAGTAATTCTAAAAGTTACAATAAAGAATTTTTTTCTCGAAAGAACTTTATTCCTTATTTCATAGGCAAGGATGTTTGTCCTTTTGAGAGAAAAATTAATCCATCCTAAGGATATGGCCATTAATTTCAATTAATTTAGGCAGATATAACAGAACTAAGAAATCTCTACATTAATTAAAAAGGCAGTGAGCAAGGTCTTAGAATAAACAGAACCTTTCTCATTTACTAGTGATTCTACAGTATTATTTACAGTTTTCCCGTCCTACGGTCATATTTAAATTTTTTTTCTTTTATTCTCAAATACATTAAACTCTAAAAATGTAGTAGAGAAATATTTAGATTAAATTTTGATTTTTAAAATTATCTCTAAATGCTCCATATATGACAACTAGTGTCAAAAACCAAAGATAACATAATCTCATAAGAATTTGATTTGCAAGGAGATTTTAGGTAATAGCTAGTAATTGTAAAGATTATCTAAACTTATCAAGTAAAACAAAACCCCCTATGTTTTGCTTAATATATAGCCAAAACTTTCAGAACGTTAAGAAAATAAACCTCCATTTTTCATTCCTCTCCCTCCTCTTTCTCCACCTTTACCTCCTTATCTCTGGCCTTTCCTTCATCTTCCTTCATCTCTTTGCCTTCCCTCTCTCCCTGCCTCGTTTCTTGAGGTTTCTTCCTGCCTGACTCACTTCCACCTCTACTCTTTATTTTTCTGAGACAGAGTCTTTCTATGCAGCTTAAGTAACCTTAAACTCATCGTGTAGCCCAGACTGGCCTTGAACTCACAGCAATCCTTGTGTCTCAGACTTCCAAGTGCTGGGATTTGCACCCCTAATGTGGAAGAAAGGAAGGAAGGAAGGAAGGAAGGAAGGAAGGAAGGAAGAGAGAGAGAGAGAAGAGAGAGAGAGAGAGAGAGAGAGAGAGAGAGAGAGAGAGAGAGAGAGAGAGAAAGGAAAGGAAAGGAAAGGAAAGGAAAGGAAAGGAAAGGAAAGGAAAGGAAAGGAAAGGAAAGGAAAGGAAAGAAAAGAAAAGAAAAGAAAAGAAAAAAACGTTTCTTTTCACTCCTGGCTATCAAAACCACTGTACAGAAAAATTACAAGTACATATTCAAATTTATTAAGTCATTACTTATTAAGTAAATGACTTAATAAATTTGAATATGTACTTGTAATTTTTCTATTATCTATGATTAGAAGATTTTATCTTTTGGTCTTAAAGTATTATATTGCTTTTAAACTGTACATTGTTAGTTGTTAACTGTTTCCAAGAAATGACCTAGAAACATCTAACGTGAAGAAGAAAATAGTATTACTCCCATTTGCCATACAGCTTGGCACTTATAAAATAGTGTACAAATTTTTTTTAAACTTTCTAATATTTTTTCCACTGAGAAGTCAATACATGTTAAGATATAATTGTTATGAGCCGAATGAACCCAAAAATCACAGCTTCACATTTTAGAACTTTTCTACATTGAATTGAGAAAAACTTGTTTCAACATCCCATTATAACTTACAAAATTATGAACATACAGAGAAAAGTAGAATCACAGAGAATTTAAGTGTTAAAAGAAAACAAATCAGCCAAAACTATGTTTTTTTTCTTCTTTTCTATACAATATTGTGTTTTTTTATAGTCAGACAACTTTCACTAACATCATCCAATTATTCAGGAGTAATTTGGCTAACAAATAAAATGTCAGTTAATATTATATCACGTTAAAATCATAATGTCATTACATATGGTTTCCAACTGAAGGTGGAATGTAACATTTTCACAGTCAAAATTAATGTTCTTGTTTTTAACCACATTATAACATCTTTCAATATTTAATCTTTTATCAAAAAGAAAACATTCACCTAACCCAAATCACTATCTGACTATTTCTGTTCTTATTCTGACTTCATTTATTCTTGGAAAAGTTAATATCTGATATGAGTAAACTAAAATCTGTCAGTTTGTAAAAGCCATTAAAACATATAAATCTAAAGTAAAATAGTTTTATGCTAAAAAAATAAGATCTTTCAAAACCAAAATATTGCATATATTTGGGATGATTTTAGGTGGGGAACACTATAGCCTTGTGTTAACATATAGTTGTTTATTGCTAAATGAGACACATTGACAACAGTATAAACTTACAAGAAATTACCTGTTGGCATCTTAATTTTTAAATAGTTTCATTCTTGGTGAAAAGATTGGGGGTGAAAAACAGCACCTAAAATAGTTTAAAATTAATAATTTAGGAAAAATTATCTTCACTAGAAGGCATTAGAAAATAGCAAATTTTCTAACAGTGGTACTCTTAGATGCTGAAAATAAAATTACATATGTGACAGAATTAAGAGAACATCTACTTTTTAGATATACATTACATAGTCAAAATCTGAATGATACAGCAAAACAACAAACATTTAAAAATGTAAATGTGCTATGTATAAATCACTGTGTAAGCAATGTGATTCAATCTTAAAACTGTGCAGAAAACCTAGGCAAATTTTGCCTTTAATAGATATTTTACATGTAGTAGTGTACTATATGAAATTATACATGAAGCATGAAGCAACAAATGAAATCGACCTGAACTGACTTTTTGCTTTTTCATAAAGGTCATTAGTGGTCTGACTTTTAAAAAGAATCAGTAACTGCAACTTTTTCAATTTACTGAAAATAGTCAAATATACTATAGAAAAACCTCTAATAGGATTTAAAATGTTTGCACTTCTATAGAACCTTTAAAACCTCCTTAAAAGTTTACTGTAAACTACACATTACATGTATCAGTGTACTATGCCTATCTTTTAGAAAAATGGCTGACATCTGGCAAAGCAAAGCAGCTAATGAGACATGCCTGTGTGTGAAATTTTTTGCTTATATCAGAAACAAAGGAAATTAAAAATATATGTAAAGAGATGAAGCATTTTATTTATTTATTTACTTATATTATTATTACAACTCTCAGTTCTGTTTTATAAAGGCAATGTATTCCTGATTTAAGATTGTAACAGAAATCTTAACCTATAATTTCCTATTAACACAGGTGTAACACCAAGGTCTTCTCCCAAAGTCAACCAGTCTTCCTCTTACAGACAAGAGAAGAGAGAGAAAGGAAAACATACACATACATAAATCTGAAATAATCACTGGCTGATTGTGAGTTTCTTTTTTCCAAACAAACAGGGCTTACCTCAATAAAACTTTCATTCACACAAAAACTGAACTTTGTTAGATATGCAGTATTTCAAAAGTTTTCAAGTATTTCAGGCTGCAGCAGCTGAGTCTTGTGTTCTGTTACACGTCAAAAATCTGATTTATAGGACGGCAGTTTGAACGAAGGTGAGGCAGACCAGGTTGTACACAGACGTCAGGCACCTGTGGGAACCACCCCTTCAGTCTCATGTTCAGAGTTGCTTAGAAAAGGAGCTGTGTACTAAGCTGCACTCTCAAATCACTGTCCAACTTTCAACGTTAGGAAATAAGCTACATGTTTTACACATATACTTATCTTTGAATGTCCAGATAATTCAAGAGTGTTGTAAGTTTGTGGTTAAAAGGGATTTTAATATGGAGCTAATGGACAAGTGTTCCACAAGATTTTCTTTAAAAATTAATTTCCTTATTAAATTACATATAATATATATGTAACAACATGAAGATCTTAAGAAGTTGAAAGAAAATAAGCTAAGGCAAAGCTATTTTATATGCATAGTAAAGTTACATTTTAAAATTCATATTTTAAAATATTGACCAAATCTTTAATCCTATTTAAATCAAATATACAGTTCTTTGTCATATGATGAGCTAAAGTATGCCAAGCATTTAAAACCACAATTCAAACAGCATTACTACTTGATAGGTGTAAAATACAGAAACTTGGACATTTGTTCTATTAAAAATATTAAAATCATATAATTATGTATCTAAAAATGATTCTTCAATATCATATTATCTCCCAAAGGCTATTTTACATAATCATAATAAACATACACATTTACAATCACATAAACTATCTTACAGTGTTAGACTTTTATGAAACATCAGTACTGTATCTTTTATTATTTCATGTGCACTGAGGAATGGCTGTGCTGTCTATATGGAAGTGACTACTAAATCCTATGTGAGACTGTGTCTGACATTATAATGACATTCAGATATATCTATTAAAAGACATATCATTAGTTCAATTGGTGGAACCAAAAAAAGACATATAATGACAGTTTTATATGAAGTACTGTTTGCATGATGCAAATAAGCTCCAGAGGCACATACACATACAGTAATTCTAAAGTAGAAAATGTAAAGATTTTCAAGGTAATATTTTACTCAAAATGAAAACCTTGATATTTAAGAATAATTTCCTCATTCCCCTATCAACCAATACATACTAAGTGGTCTACTAGGCTTACACAAATGACAGAGGACTTGCTGAATTGGGGAATGACAGACACAAAAACAAGTAATTACAAAATGCATTTTATAAAATTCACTTTAGTGGAATTTTAACCAGAATCTTCAGAGGAAATATTATCAGAGAAAGCAGCACGGAGAATACTTTAATAATCAAAAATAATGAAAAAGTAATAGAAATTAGGATAAAGAAGAAGGGTAATTAAAATATATTTAGGAGAACAGGTGAGCACAGTAAGAAAATCAAGGATAATTTCTGAATGTTGCTGAAACTAAATAACTAAAGCAAAAGCTATTAGGGACATGCATATTAAAACCACAATGATACAACATTTTATACCCACTAGAATAGCTATACTCAAAATAATAGCAACAAGCTCTAGAAAATGGGCTGGGGATTTAGCTCAGCAGCATAAGCACCTGCCTTGCAAGCAGGTGGTCGTGAGTTCGATCCCTGGTACCGATAAAAAGTTTTTAAAAAATGTACGATATAAACAAGCTCTAGAAAAAACATAGAGGAAACTTGAATTCTCATATATTGCTGATGGAACTATAAAATGGTACAATCATTTTGAAAAGTAGTTTGATAGTTGCTGAAAAAGTTAGCTGGGTATAGTTGCACATGCCTGTAATCCCAGCACTCATGAGGCTGAGACAGGAGGACTGCTGCAAGTTTCACAGCCTGGACTACACAGTGAGTTTAAGGCCACTCTGAATTACATAACAAGACCCTGTCTCAAAAAAAAGTTAAACATAAATTTATTATATGAATGTATCCAAGAAAAATGAAAATATAAGCTCACACAAAGACTTGCATACAAAACATAGCTGTTACTCATAACAGTTTCAAACTAGAAACAATTCAAATGTCCATCAATTGATGAATGAATAAACAAAATTTGGTAAAGCCATACAACAGAGTATTATCTGGCTATAACGTAATTAAGTATTAGAACATGTTAAAACATGAATGAACTTCAAAAACATGTTAAGTAAAAGCAGCCAATCCCAGATAATCACATGATTCTATTTAAATGAAATATTCCAGAAAAGGAAATCTATAAAGTGTAGGTTAATGGTTCCCTTGAATTGGGGGTGGGAATTGAAAGCAACTGCAAAAGAGCATGGAGCATTTTTTAAGAGTGGCAGAATTGTTCTAAAACTGGATTAACAATGATTGGGCAACTCTGCAAATTTACAAAATGTCAAATAACCATACACGAATATGGGTGAATTTTAAGAAATGTAAAGTATATTTCAAGGAAGCCTGTATTCAAAGAAACACATAAACAGATTCATGATTAAGATAATGATTTCCACTGTGGACATGTTAAGTTTTAAGTGCTTCTGGAACATGCAGAAATAGATGTTTGGAAATGCAGGTCTTGCACTCAGAAAAATAATCAGGTTAGAGATTAAGAGAGCAGGACTCAAAAGTCCACTGCTAGTTGTGCAAGCCATTTACTACGCATGTGTTTTATGAGACAAGAGGCCAAGGGCTGATTCCCAAAGGACACTAAGATTTCAGCACCTGTGGTTTAAAAAGGACATAAAAGAACAAGAGAAGCCAAAGATCCTGTCCCTAGAGGCAAAGCCTTCTTTCTTTCTGTTTTTAGTATTCTGATGTTTATCTCCATAATTCAAAATGCTTTTATCTCTATTTCTAGATTATCACCTTTGGCCAAATCTAAGCCCCAGTTACAAAAAACAAGATTTTAACTATCTTCACAAATTCTTTGTTGTTGTTGTTGTTGTATCCTTCAGGGCACTTTTCTTTCCCTCTCTTTAGTATAACAAAAATTTACACATTTTGGACTTTATTGCTCCCTTAGATCTTATTACTTTTTTTTGTAAGAGAATAAAATCAAGCATGATAAAACAAAGCTGTCAGTCAAAACCAAGGATACACATAGCACATGATGTAAAAACAAAGTACAAGGTTATCAACAATGGTTACCATAATGCCTCTTGTATCCTTAAGACGAATTGTCTATCTCTTTAGGTATTATAGAGTTAAACATAACAGTAGAGAACAAGACCAATAAAATCTAAACTTTGTAAGTCTTACAGTACCTCAAAAGAGGATAATAGTCAAACCAGAATGGGCATCATAGTGAATCACAAATTCTTTCTTTCTAATCTTTCATTTCAATATTTAACAAATTATACGCTCTTCATTTTTTCTGTTGATTACATTTGTGATTTCCAATAATATACTGCAGCCCCTCCATATCTGCTAGGGGTTAGTTACATGATCTCATGCAAAACAACACTCTGCAAGTGTGCAAGTCCCTTATATTAATCATATTTATGTATCTTCTACGCAAACCTTCCTGTATATGTTCAGTCATTTCTAAATTATTTATATACAATTAAAGACAGTATAAATGCTATGTAGGACTTGCAACACTGTTATTTAGGGAATAATGACAACAAAAAGTCTGCACATGCTCAGAAGAGATGCAAATTTTTAACAAATTATTTTAGATCCACAGTTGGCTGAGCCCACTTGGTGCAGGACCACAGGTGTGAAGGGCTGGCTGTACCTCAATGTATTAATAAAACTGGGTCAGTTCATGGAATAATTCCCAATTATGGGAAATAATAACTGCATCACTAGCTTTACAATCACCTTTCTTCTTCCCTTTCACCTTGTTAGCTATATCTTGATGCTTAGTCATGACTTCTAACATCTGAATTCTAGTATACAGCCCTCTAGCAGTCTTTCATACTTGTCTCTTAAGTTTACTCTAAAATCAAATAATAAAAAGTACTTTTATTGAACCTATATAATTATTATTCATGAAAGAGCCATGAAATGCACCAAAATAACATGTCCTCCTTTTACTTCAGTGTCATAAAACCTGGTCCACTTATAAGATACTATATTTGATAGGATATATTCTCTTTTCTTAAATTCTGAATAATGATTAAAATCATGCCACATTTTAAAACAATCTTATTCATACCATATTTTTCTTGCACAGTTTTCTCTTTTATTGTTTATTTTTAGGGTTGGGGTAGACCAAAGAGTAATATGCTTTCTCATAGCATGTTCCTTAATTATACCATGTATTTCCTGAGACATGCCTTCCACAGCTCTCCCCTAATCTGGACTGAGGATTCTCGAGAACTGCACTAAATATAGCTGTCATTCCAAAACTTCCCTTCGATGATTTGAATTTGTTCTAGTTTCCCAGATTCTATGTCATCTATTTGGTTTACCCCCTTGTGTTATTGAGTTCATCATTAGCTTTCTAAAATAGGATATGGTATAAACTTTAGTTACGGCATGACTAAAGATATCTTTCTTATGTCTTCACATCTGAATGAGTAGTTAATGGTTGGTCATATTAATTTACACTAAAAGCAACTTCCTTACAATATATTGTCTCTAGAGAATATTGTCTCTAGATACAGAGATGAGAATTCTGATATTAGGGTAACTGTTAAAACTTTGTAGGGGGACTTTGGAGAACATGGCGGACAGATAGCAGCAGCTACGGAGGCTCTCTGAAAGACCCAGCTTAGAATTCAGGAATGGTGCGGAGTAAGGAATCATAAGCAAGAGAAGAAATGCCCTGCTGACCCAAGAATGAACTGGGCTGAGAGAAACCAACTGGGAATGCAATCCTGGTGCTATAACAGGAACAGAAAAGCCTCAGTGTGGAAGCTGGAGCCCACGACGTTGGAAACCTCAATTTGGGTTTCCCGCCGCTGTTGCTGCATCTACATCGGCTCGGCAGGGAGAGAGATGCACGAAAGCTCTGACAATGAGAATCAGTGAAAGCAGGACGGGCAGGGAGCTGTGCACTGACCTGTGGTGAGTGAGACAAACTGGGACTCTTCCATGGTCTAGGAGACTCCAACAGAGGACATTCTGGGACCAGGCAGACTTGCGGGAACAGGACGCTGCAGTGACTTCAGTCATGTATCCCCCTCTCAAGTGGGATTGGTGAGCAGTG